ATTATTTTATATCTAATGAAATATTTTAACAAATGTTTCCAATAAATTATTAGCACGTAAGTATAAGCATTTTTATATTTATTTCTAAATTATTATGATAACTTCCTCTAATTTATACTATACATAACTTTATGTTTTCTTATAAAATTATTAGGCCGTAAGCATAGACTTTACTATTTTGATATATTCCCTGGTTTATACTATTTATATCTTTATATGATTGCTTTTATCAAATTATTAGCTAGTAAGAATACGCTTTATTATTTTAATATTTTATAACTTCCTCTAATCTATGCTATTTATAACTTTTATGTTTTCTTATCAAATTATTAGCCAGTAAGCATAAGCTTTATTATTTTGATATTTTTGATTAGTGCATGACAAAATTAAGCAAACCTTGATTTTAAAGTTTTTGAATCCAGCATTTTCGCTGTTTTCAAAATGGTTGATATAATAATATTCACAAAAAAAATTTTTTTTGTGAATACCCGAATACCCAATTAACTTGAAACTTGATTGAAGATTGATTTCCAGCTTATTTAATGATAAATTAGGCGATTAATTGTTTGTTGCAGGTCATAATGAAATCAGATCATTGTGAAACTTATGGGTCTCAATTTAAATATATAAGTTCTACTTATACTCTTTTCCTAATAATTCTAACTCTAAACCCTAACTTAACTATAAAAAAAAAAACAAAAAAGGACCAAAAAATTTTTAAAAATCGTACATAAAATAAGCTAAATTTATTATGTTCTGATTCATTATGGTCTGCCACATTTCATAGTTAGAAATCGTTCTTCGATCAATGTGATCAATGTTCTAAACTAATTGGGTATTCAGGTAATTAAAGCACAATACTGTTAATCGATAGATTTAAAACTTGAAACTCGTGTTTTGTTCGATTTTGCCGAGCACTGATTTTGATAATTTCTAATTTATGCCGAGCACTAATTTTGATAATTTCTAATTTATACCATTTATTATTTTTAGTGCGTAAGTATAAGCTATATTATTGAGATAATTTAATAACTTACTCGTGATATTTTGATAACTTCTACTAATTTATTATTTATAACTTTATGTTTTTTTTTGTCAATTATTACATGGTTTCATTATTTTGAAAATTTCAATAATTATTTATAAATTTATGTTTGCTTTTATCAAAATTTTAGCTTGTAAGTATAAGTTTGTTATCCGACAAACTCATATGATCATGAAAAACTTTCTTTTTGTTATTTTTTTTCATGTGTTATGATGTAATTATATTTATTCCAATATTCAACTCTCTACAATCATGATCATAAATTGTCGGATTGGGCAAATTGTCGAATACGGTAATTTGACAAATAATTGGCTATACGTGCCGTTTTGCAGCGCGTGCCCATTTGCCAAATTACCGTTATTCGACAATTTTTGCCCAATAATGTTATTTTAAAAATATTACTTGATAATTTTTAAATCATATAATTTTATATTTGATGAAATATATTTTGACAAATGCTTCTGTCATTTCAAAAATTATTAGCGTGTAAGTATAAGCATTATTAATTCATTTCTAAAATTATTATCTTGATAAATCCTAATTATACTTTGTTTTCTTTATCGAATTATTAGGCCGTAAGCATAAGCTTTATTATTTTGTTATTTTAATACTTCCTCTAACTTATGCTATTTGTAAATTTATGTTTCCTTTATCAAATTATTAGCCCGTAAGTATAAGCTTTATTATTTGATACTTTGATAATTTTCTATACCTCATATTATTTATAATTTAATGTTTTTTATGCTTTATTATTTGATATTTTGATAATTTATACTATTTATAAATTTATGTTTTTCTTTTATCAAATTATTAGTTAGTAAGTATTATTATTTTGATAAATTCCTCTAATTTATAACTTTATAACTTTATATATTTGTTTTTTAAAATTATTGTTATATCTAATGAAACATATTTTAACAAATGTTTCCAATAAATTATTAGCACGTAAGTATAACCATTATTATATTTATTTCTAAATTATTATTTTGGTATTTTGATAACCTCCTCTAATTTATACTACTTATAACTTTATGTTTTCTTATCAAATTATTAGGCCGTAAGCATAGACTTTACTCTCTTGATATATTCCCTAGTTTATACTATCTATATATTTATATGATTGCTTTTATCAAATTATTAGGAAGTAAGCATAATCTTTATTCTTTTGATATTTTGATAAATTTAATTATTATTTTGATATTTGCTAACTTCCTATAATTACTATTTTGATACTTTATAACTTTTAATTTATACTATTAATAATATTTTTTTTATCAACTTATTAGTTAGTAAGTATGAGCTTTATTTCGATAAATTCCTCTAAATTATACTATTTATAACTTTATATGTTTCGTTTTTATCAAATTATTAGTATGTAAGTATGAGCTTTGTTATATTTTTTAAAAAATTATTGTTTGATAATTTTTAAATCATACATTGTTAGGCCACGCAAATTTAATATATTGTTTCTCGTAACATGAACTTTTTAAATAAACCTGGTTTAGCAGGCTTTTTTTTTAAATTATATATATAAAAGTATATAAAACTTATTTTAAAAAAATCAAAAACTTACCAGGTTATTAAAAAATATAAAAAGTTTATAAAAATTTTCAAATTTTAGCCCGTCCGGGTTATGAGAACCAATTAATTAACTTTGCATGGCTTTATATCTAATAAAATATATTTTGACAAATGCTTCTGTTAATTTATAGCCAGTGAGTATAAGCATTATTAATTTATTCTAAAATTGTATTTAAATTATACTATATATAACTTTATATTTTCTTTTATCAAAATATTAGCCGGTAAATATAGGTTTTACTATTATAATTTCTTCTATTTTATACTATTTATAACTTATTTTTCTTTATCAAAATATTAGCCGGTAAATATAGGTTATACTATTATAATTTCTTCTATTTTATACTATTTATGCTTATTTTTTCTTTATCAAATTATTAGATATTAAGTACAGGCTTTATTATTTTGATTAATTCGTCTAACTTATACTACTTATAACTTTATACATTTCCTTTTATCAAATTATTAGATGTAAATATAAATTTTGTTATATTATTTTTAAATTATAATTCTGATGATTTTAAATCATAAATGTTATATTTAATGGAATATATTTCATTGATTAAATTATTAGTCAGTAAGCATAGGCTTTACTACTTTAATGTTTTGATAACTTCTTCTAATTTATACTATTTATAACTTTATGTTTTTTTTATATAAAATTATTAGCCCGTAAGCATAGGCGTTATAATTTTGATATTTTGATAACTTTTTCTAATTTATACTATTTATAACTTTATCAAATTATTAGCACGAAAGCATAGATTTTATTATTTTGATAAATTTCTCTATCTTATACTATATATAACCTTATATCATTGTTTTTATCAAAATATTATATACGTTATTATTAAAATTTTTATTTGATTAGGTTGTTTGAAATTAAATGTTATTTTTTTGATATTTGAATAGTAGGAAAAAACGTTCATATGATTAGTTAATTTTTATAGATCTGCCCGTGATTACCTTCTAGGATGGGAGAGCGAAGGGCGTATATCTCCAGTTTAGCCCTATGGTTAACGGTGAGGAATATATACAAAAAGCATGTGGGTATTATTAATGAAGGGCTTCGAGTAGTGATGGGAAAAATGCACATTTTATACTAACATGCGCATTAATACGTATTAATGCGCACGTTATTAAAATGCGCATGATATTGTATGATATACTGTATTGGAATTTATATTTTCCCTTCGGAATAGTGCTCAAAATTTTACCTTAATCTTGCTTTCCTTTTATGTTCATTCATTTTCTTTTCGGGATTTTTCGAGACTTTGCATCCATATTCCTTAATTCAGCCCGAATCCGCTCCTTGAACTACTTTTAATTTTTCCATAAAAAATTTAGATAAGAAAAATGCGCATGATTCCGAAACATGCACATGGATGCGCATTAATGCACACGATTAAGAAATCATGCGCACGCATGAAACCCATCTCTAGCTTCGAGATACCTCGTTGTCATCCCTCTAAAGGGGTATGTATCCTTCAATACATGATTATGGATTTACATTCATATTAACAGATCTTGAATGAATGCATTTTCATACTAACTACACTATAACTCATGATTATCACCTACTAATCTACATCGTTACACTGTGAGAATTAAATAATCAGATCAACGAACCCGTAAAGTAGACAAACTTTATACCGCTATATACTACCTTTATTAAATTTTATATTCAATTATTTTTAATAATTATTGCCTTTGTTCAAGATGCGATTACCCAAGACACAACATAAATTAAGTAATATCACGTATATTACTCGTATTTGTACATATCAAAAAGGAAATTTTACTCCTTAATAACGTAAATTCTTAAACAATAGCCCTATATTTCAGCCAATACAACCACTTTACAACTATTTTCAGTCTATATTATTAATTAATACTACACGTACATATCTATATGGTGCAGGACATCTAGTCACATCATAGCGCTGAATTTTGAAATGTATATATAAATATATATAGTAGCGCTGAAATTTTAATAATTAGCGCTGAATTTTAAAATTCAGTGCTGAATTTTTAAAATTTATATAATATTTACCGGTAATAGTGCTGAAATTTTTAAGAGAGATTGAATAAAAAAAAAAAGAAAAGAGAAATTAAAGTTTGAAAAAAAATTTTATATATTAATTAATCTTTTAAAAAGTATTTTATAATATAAGCGCTGAATTTTTTATATTTACTAATAAAATAAGGCGCTGAATTTTTTAAAATATTAATAAATTAAAGAAATTTTGATCCAAAATAACTTTTTAATAAAAGAGCTTTTTTTAAAAAAACTCTCTATACTAATATTCTTTGGGTCTTAAATAATATTATTATAGAAAAATTTTTTTTAATTGCTAAGCTTACACATGCTATTATGGACATGCACAACGTGCCAATATGTATTATTTAACATTCTGTGTAGGGTACACATATGTGCCACAGTACACATTTCATTATGGACATCTCTGTGTAAAACTGTAATACCACTTTTTCATAGAGCAGGAGGTAGATCGATATCGGTAAGATAACAGCACAGTATTAGGATACCCTGATATCTTACTCTTAGTACTCTGGGTCTAAAAGTAAGATATTGGAATATCACAATATTTTGCTTTGATAACTTATCAATATGCTGTTATTTTGTTGCTAATATTCAGCAGGTATTTGGCGGATCTATGGCAGACTATTGGATACATATCAAAAAACTTGTAACCTGGTATGTACTGATATTCATTGATTCAACAGTTGTAAGATTACTATATTTCTCTAAGTTAAATTAATTTTGTTCAACCAACGCTAACTTCACTAATACCTAATTAGGTTAATTTGAACTAAGTTAGATTCATCTAGGCCTCGTTTAATTTTAATAGTTGTATAGTTTTTTTTTCTCTCTCCTCATAGGAAGATTTTTATATGATTGGATGATGCAAATCAATTGTCTGGTAACTTATTTACATTATACAGATTAAAATATTTTTTGAGAAGGTAACATTTCACTAAAAAAAGTCACCATAAAAACCATTTCTAGCTTCGAGAAAACATCTAAATTCACTGTATAAAAATAATTAAAAATAATTAGTACCTTAAGAACCTCACTTAGAAGCAAATATTTCATTTTTTATTACTATAACTATCTTGTTACTATCTTCATTGGCTATATGCAAGTACTGAATGCAATAAAAAAACTGTCAAATAAACAAATGAACAAGAAGTTTAAGGTAAATTTAAATTCTAAAAATAACTCTTATATTCTTTTAACTTATTGTATTTTAAGTTCGACATACAGTACATTTTAATAATCTTAATATATATATTACTTTAATATTGTGTAGAGCTTATTAAGTAGCTAAATATTTGGTTTTTGTTATCAAGAAGGTATTGGGGACAATTAATTATTTTTTATAAATATAATTTAGTATAGTGCAGGACATCTAGTCATATCACAAAACAATTGCTTGCAATAAAAGTTTAATAACTATTTAAAAAAATTTTTATACAGAATAGCACGTATTTGGAATAACACATATAGGCTCGTTAGTTGGAATTACACATTAAATCTCATAACGCGAAAATTCATTGCCTGAATCTAAAAATCCTGTCTATTAAAAAGCTTTTTATTTTTTAAAAAAAATTTTCTTGCAAAATTTTACTATATTGTGTTTGCCTATAATAACACGCAGGGTGTGGTTTTGAATTTCAGTCTGAATTAAGCTCAACTTGAGCTGTGTCTCAAAATAACAACTCTGCACATTATTACTGGCAAATATGATAGGCATGTTTGTTATCACCCTTCGCAATTATATCATACTCTAACTAAATCGAATTTACTCTTGCTTATAACTTGTAAGAAATATATGCACATGAACTTACGTAAACTTCAGCCATGCCAAAACTCATAAATTTTGGTCTAGTAAAGCATAGCAAAACATGGACTACTTATCGTCCAATTTGGACCATTTTTATTTTAGTCATACCAACACAGAACTCAACCCAGTTCTCTGACTGTTCTACAGATTACCTATCAGTAGAAACACGTGTATATCCGGATGGATTTTTTTTATAGGGCTGATATATATATGTTATTTTCCACTTCATGAATAATAACTGAATTATTCCCAAGTTGTATTATACTTTTATACTATTTCTTCAAAATAAAATTGCATATTTCATAAAGTCTAGCTTACTACAGATCACAAAACTCTTTCATTTTTTTCTTTTTTTTTCGGTTTGTTCAGTTATTATTTTTTTTTTTTTAGCTAGCAGCTTTCACATTTTGTAACTCTAATAGTTTAAAATAGTTTAAAAAATTTCATATATTATTAAAAAAAAAGTAAAAAAGATATATTATCAAAAAGAATTATAAAAATTCTGGATTAGTCCGAATCAAAAATCTGGATAATAATTGAGAAGGAATAATATAGAAGTATAAATAAGAACCGGTGAATAAATATTAATTCAAGTACTTACTAAATAAATTCTTGAAAAATATGTTCTAATATATATATATATAAGGTTTCTTATATCAAAATTTACTTGTATATCGATGATAACCTCACATGTCATAGTATGAGAAGAATACAATTGTGAGAAAATTATTCTGAATATATATCTGCTGTATGAGAAATAAATGTATAAGAAAATTATGCTAATATACGAATTATAAAATCCTAAAATTATACTTGCCAGAGGTTTCACTTTGTGAAACTAGAAAAATATGGTAAACTAGGAAAATAAAAAAGCATGCCGATATTGTAAAATTGACGAAGCCAATGGTAGTAAAAGGTAGCAAATTTTCAAAAAATAAAAAATTGAACCGATTATTTACTATCAAATTTATTGCCATTACTATATTTATCTATCTCACTAGATGAATTGTAATTACCAATATAAAAAAAGAAAAACAAAAGACAATCTTAAAAAATAAGCAAAAAATAAAGATTGAAAAGATTTAAAAATAATAATAATAAAATAAGAATTAAAATAGATAAAGAAAAAATAAATTATTACATATCTACCTAATTGCTAAATACATACAAATTGTATATACTAAATAGTATGTTCAAAAGACAATGTTCAGTAATAAAAATTTTCTCCAAGAACGTATGAAATATTGAAAAAGCACTTTTAGAGTAAACGTATCAATTTTTAATGGTTGCAAAATGCCAATTCATTATATCAATATTTTAGCAATGTACTATGTAAAGCACATTATTATTTTCTTGAACATGGCAAATTATTTTCTGCAGGATGATAACTTAGTGTTGTAATTTGGTTTTCGACCAGCCTTCTGTGTTCAATTGCTTGATGTGGCATATAAATTATTTCATAAATTTTCAATATAACTCCTAAATTAATTCTATCTTGCTAAGTATAGTAGTGCAATTCTTCTGTCATACCCATATGAATAATTTGAAAATTAACTACTATACGAATGTTTGAACTTTTTATATAATGAAATTAAAAATAACAGCATATATTTTTCATTCAATATTACCTTTTCATATTAATTTGATAGACTAGAGTATTTGGCTCCATATTTTTGCAACTGGTCGTAATATAGGTACAAGAATTGAAAATTTGATGATGGAATAATGATTATGTAAGAGCATATGAGCTGATATTTAATAAAAATTCTCATGATCTTTAAAATAGTATATTCTCACCTAGAGATAGAACTTTTTATTTGACCGATCCAGATAATCCGAATATGATATAATTATTTGGATAAATTTTAATTTCAGATAATTAGACTGGATTATCTGGTTATACGATAATTTATCTGATAATTAATATATGATGATAATATTATGATAATAAAAGTCAGATAAATTATTAAAAAAAAGTTTAATATATTATATAAAATATATGACTATTTAAAATAAAAAATTAATCATAAAAAAATTAAACATAAAACAAATTTTTTTGTCTTATTCTTGTTAACTATGGATGAAATTCACAAAAGTAACTCAAGCAATAATTCTCACAACTCAAAAAAAAAAAAGTTGATACTTTACCTTTAGCATTGGTTTCTTCTAATAAAACTGATGAATCTGATGAAGAAAATTCAATAAGTAAGGTGTGGCTTTATTTTAAGAAAGACAAAATCAAACAAGTTGGAAGATGTAAAGTAAATGTACTTGGTAAAAATAGATATGAATGATGTAGAAAAGAAGTAAATCTTAATACTGCTAAGTTAATAAGTAATTTTTGGTATCATATCAAAACAGCACATAGTATTACTAAAAATAACATTGATAATGTATCTGATATTGAACATAATCAAATAAATTTTATTCATAAGCAAATCTTGAATAATAAGATCATATCCTTTATATTTAAGGATCAGCAACCTCTTTTAGTAATTGCAGATGATGGATTTATTGAATTAATGAAGGAAGCAGTTTCTAATTACAAACTTCCATCTAAAAAAGCTATAAAAATTTTGTTATCACAAGCATTCACATTTACAAAGCAACAGCTTATAGATAAACTTTCAAAGTCACTTTTTTATGGTTCATTAACATCTAATTTGTGGACAGCATGGTCAAAAAATAGATATATTGGAATCACCTGTTCATATTTGGATGAAAATTTTAAATTGAATGAATTGCTTTTAGCTCTTAGATATTTGCCATATCCATATATGGGTATGTTTATTGCAAATATAGTAGATGATATTATTAATGAGTGGAATTTAGATAAACGAATTTTTTGTATTACTACTGATAATGGAAGTAACATGGTTAAGGCAGTATAGTTTTTATCTGAATTAACTCGAATACCATGTACTGCACATACTTTATAGCTTGTAGTTAGAAAAGGGCTTATTCCTTGTAAAGTACTTGTTGCCTAGGCTAGAAGGTTAATTAATTTTTTTATGAGCCCAAAACAAAGTGAAAAGTTAGAACAGGTTCAATTAAAAATTAATATACCCGAAGATCAGGTATGTTTTATTTATATATAGCTAAAAAAAATTAATATTATATATTAACTAATTAGTTAGCTATTATCTTTTTTAGATTTTACACAAAACAGATCATTATTTGTGGCTTATTGCTAATATAAAAACTTAATGGAACTCATCATATCTTGCATGGGAAAGATTAATAAAATTACGATCTGCAATAAATGTAATGATTACTATACTTGAAACAGAAACTAATCATGAGGCAAATCAAGAAGTAAGACAACTTAAAAAAATTAATTTAACTAATGCAGAGTGGGATTCTATTAAAGATCTTCTTCCTGTATTAAAACTATTTGCTGATACAACAGAATTCTTAGGAGGAAGCAGCTATTCAACAATTGGGTTTTATGTATTATGTAATTTTAATTTTAGCTTCTAATCTTGCATTATATACTTATGATAATTCAGTAATGATCGACTTTGAATCAAGTGCAACTGTATTTGATGACGATATTATTTATGAGGATGCAGATGAGGAAATAGATGAGATAAACAATGGAACTCAACAAATCTGAATTAATACACCTCAAAATTGTGATAGGCTTATTAAATGAATCAAACTGCTTTAAATAAAAGCTTGAATAATTATTATTCAGTTCCTTCTGAAGTTGGCATACTAGTAGGATTGTTGGATCCCTAATATAAATCTCTTAATTTTGTCTCTGAAACTAAAAAATTAGAAATAATAAACATATTAAAAAATATAGTTACAAGCTTACAATCTAATTATGAAGAAGCTCAACAAATAATTAAAAGTGACAATTCACTTATTACTCGAATACTTTAGCTACATCATTCTCAAACAGATGAAGTAACTAATTATCTTGCTCAAGCAAAAATTTCTCCATAATATGATCCTTTAACTAGTTGGACAAATAATCAAAAAAGGTTTTCTACAATTATCAAGCTTGCTTGCAAATACCTTTCTATTCCTGTGACATCAACACCTAGTGAATGTCTCTTTTCAGATGCTGGGAATATTATGTCTTCAAAATATACTAATTTTAAACCACAAGTGTTTGAACAGCTTATTTCTTGAAAAGAAATTACAATTTAGTTAATAACATATTTCTGAAGTCATAAAGTTCAAGGCTATATATAACTAACATATTTTTGAAGTAATAAAGTTAAAGGTTAATGCACTGTAAGTATCTCATGTTTTAATTTTATTTTATTAAGTTTCATAACGAATTACTAAAAATTTAACATATTTTAAGTGCAGTACTTATCAAGAAATAACTGCTGAAATTGGAATGCAGGTTAATAAAAAAACCAAATTGCTTAGCAATTCTTATTTTTTTTTGTAAGAATTAAATTTATTAAGTTATTATGTTGAAAATTATGTGACAGGCAAATATTGCCATGGCATTAAAGAATTAATAAAATTCAATTGCTATAAGTTGTTAGCTGCAAAAATATTGATTTTAGCCCAATATGCATACGGTATTATGGCAATATTATTGTAAAATCATAATTAGAACTACTGATTTTGCAATTTTCAATATAATTTTTTTTGTATTAATTTTATCCAGCTTATTTGAATATCACCAGAGTTAGTCAAAGATGGATGGACAGATATGAATAAACTTTGGTTTATCTGAATGGATAGACGGATCCCACCTCTATTCTCACCATACAATTTATTGAGCATATATTGAACTACTTTTAATATAAATTAATAGAGTTTGACAGTCATATGAAAATGTGCAATATATTGTACAGTAGTAAATTAAAATGTATACATTGGCCAACATCAGACGAATAATTAATATTTTAAATGCTAATAATAAATGTTTTCAGGGTATTTTGAAATTTGATAAAGATATGTGATTGGATTTATTTTTTAATTTATATATTAGGATATATATATACAGATAGATATTTATAGTGGTAAATGACTGCACTAATTTTAATTATTAGACCTTTATTCAAACTGATAAAATCTGATTAAAGTTTCCCCAAGTTATAATTCTTTCATTATATGGGATCTTTGCTAGGATTTTTTTTCCAAAATGGATTTATTATGTTTTTCTTAATAAAATCTCGTGTAACAATGACTTGTAGGCATTTTATTAGCAAAGGTCCTATATATTAGA